CTGTCCAGCTGATTTCATACATCCCTTTATTTTTTTTATGAAAATCTTTCCAAAATTGAACAATGTCTCTCAGGTGAATTTCAGCTTCACTCATGAGGAAGTGTGTGTTTTATTGTTTACATTTGTCACAGTTCTACCATAATGATATTCTGTATGTTTGTTCTATATACATACTGTACACACATACAGTACATACATACTGTACACACATACTGTACACACATACAGTACATATACATACACACATACAGTACATATACATACTGTACACACATACAGTACATATACATACACACATACTGTACACACATACAGTACATATACATACTGTACACACATACAGTACATATACATACACACATACAGTACATATACATACTGTACACACATACAGTACATATACATACAGTACACACATACTGTACACACATACTGTACACACATACAGTACACACATACTGTACACACATACAGTACATATACATACACACATACAGTACATATACATACTGTACACACATACAGTACATATACATACTGTACACACATACAGTACATATACATACACACATACTGTACACACATACAGTACATATACATACTGTACACACATACAGTACATATACATACACACATACAGTACATATACATACTGTACACACATACAGTACATATACATACTGTACACACATACAGTACACACATACTGTACACACATACTGTACACACATACAGTACACACATACTGTACACACATACAGTACATATACATACACACATACAGTACATATACATACTGTACACACATACAGTACATATACATACACACATACAGTACATATACATACACACATACTGTACACACATACAGTACATATACATACTGTACACACATACAGTACATATACATACACACATACAGTACATATACATACACACATACTGTACACACATACAGTACATATACATACACACATACAGTACATATACATACACACATACAGTACATATACATACACACATACAGTACATATACATACACACATACTGTACACACATACAGTACATATACATACTGTACACACATACAGTACATATACATACACACATACAGTACATATACATACTGTACACACATACAGTACATATACATACACACATACAGTACATATACATACTGTACACACATACAGTACATATACATACACACATACTGTACACACATACAGTACATATACATACACACATACTGTACACACATACAGTACATATACATACACACATACAGTACATATACATACACACTTACAGTACATACAGATACCGCTCATACATAGATACACACAAACATCCATGCAGTACATATGTGTCTTGTACTCGGTTACGTCTCTAAATACAGTCATGTGTAACTTTACTGTAGTTTTTACAGTGTATAGTGTTCACCGAGTGTCACAGAGATCTGACTTTTTTACAGTGAAAACACAGAGAATAAACTTTCACAATGAAAACTAAGTCATGTGATGTCAGGACTTATTATTCTGAGACACAGTTTCATTGACCTGAAGACTTGCTTTTGAGGAATTAACTTTTCATTTTGAGAATGTGACTTTTGCAGGTTATCCACCAGGTTTTTCTCTTTGCACTAAATGTTTTGAGAAATGCACAAACTGTTGTGCAAATGTGAAGAATGAAGTGAGAAATTCACCAAAGGAATTGAGAAAAACTGTACTACAATCCAGATAGATAGATAGACAGACAGACAGACAGACAGACAGACAGACAGACAGATAGATACTTTATTGATCCCCGTAGGAGAAATTCAGGTGTCCAGAATCAGCGAGAATAAAATAGCTCGTTCTAAAAAGATAACAATATAATCAGCAGCAGTCCTTCAGGTCACAGCAGCGGAGGTGGAGCCGCTCGGTTTGAGCCATTTTCTCTGCCAGTCCCTGTGAACCTTGACCTGTTTAAGGGGTCAAGGTTGGTACATGTGTGTGTGTGTGTGCAAGAGAGAGAGGAAGAAATAAAAAGAAAAAGAGGGAATGAGAAAGACAGGGATAAAAAAGGGAAAAGGGAGAGAGAGAAAAAGAGAGAGAGCGAGAGTGAAAGACAGGCCTCCAGCTGGGACTCTGAGGAGCCCAGGGACTGGTCTCTTGCTGGTCCCAGAGTCAGAACTGAACATGGGGAAGCTACATTTCTGCAGCTCCATCCATCCATCCATTTTCTTCCCCTTAATCCATTTCTGGGTCGGGGGGTGGCAGTCAGAGCTACACCCAGTCCACAGAGCACCAGCCCCTCACTGATCCTCCTGCAGGTGCTGAGTCCACAGGCAAAGTGGGGTAAAGTGTCTTGCCCAATGACACAACGACAGCAGTCATCAGTGGGACACGTGAAGTAGGTCTTGTGGTGGGCTCGTGTTATGGCCCTGGGCCTGTAAATTGCTCCTGTTTTGGATTTTGTGTGTTTTTTGTGTGTGTGTGTGTGGCAACTGCTTTTGGTTGAGATCCCTGTCCTGTGATTGGAGAACCACTGGCCCTCCCACCTCCCAGAAGTCCATGACGTCTGGGAGGAGTAATAATACATCCAACTTATATAGCGCTTTTTTGGACACTCAAAGACGCTTCTCATGGGGAGTAGAACACAATAATAAAAGGGGTTTACTGAAAAGCTGGGTTATGAGACTGATTTAAAGTTTGGTAGTGAGTCAGAGTTTCTAATGGGCAGTGGGAGTGAGTTCCAGAGGGTCGGGGCGGCGATGGCAAAGGCTCTGTCTCCCAAGAGCCCTTGCCTTTTGCCTTATGTCCACTTTCACATTCCTGTTATTAAATACTTGCTTTGCCATTTAACATCTTTGCTGTTTTTGTTACCTCCCTCATTCTAGCTGAGCTGGGTCGAAACAACTCGAACCCACGACCTTCAGGCTCAAAGGCCAATGCTCTACTAACTGAGCCACTGTCGCCCCATTTCAGCAGCTAACACCTGGAAATCATCCTCCTGAAAATGTTCAAATCTCATTTAAAAACTCATTAAAAACTGAGAGATGTTAAAGACTATTTACAACGTACTGTGATCATTTATGATTCTAATGCCATGTGTGATTGCTATGTGTATGAACTGTGCTATACAAATAACCTCGCCTCGGGCCACAGTTTGATGACGGTCATTGCATAAACACGACACGGATCCAAATCACTTTCACACAACATTCACCGAGCACAAGAAAAGTAAAGTGTGGCGAGACGCGGGCTTATAGAAAATCTCATTTATTTGGCTAAATTAAGCAAATGGTCACAGCAGTCACAGCGCATCTGCACGGGGCGCCTCTCACAGCCCGCCGCCGAGAAGCACGAAGGCGGTAGAAAAAATAGACAGAGCCTCGTTTCTCCAATAACATTTTACACATTGTCATCTCATTATGTTGGATCAGTTTTTCTATAATAGCCAGCTTCAGCCCCGGCACAATGGACTCGTCGCTGTGGCCGATTGATAACAAATGCAATTACTTCACATTGTGCTCTAAAATGAAATCATTATAAGATATCAATTTGCGAGTCTGGCAACGTATGAGATTGGGAGGCTATGGAAAAACAACAACAGCTGTGCCTCAAATTGAACTGAACGACGAGCCGTAAAAGTGGGTTTTGCGTCTGTCCGGGCGGCGCCGACTTTGGATTCTGGTCCGATGTTCCACGGTCGAGCTGGCAGGACTGTCATTGGTTTCATGGTTTTTAATCGCAAGAATAAAGTACAAGCAAGGGCTGAGTCCTGGGTCTACAGCCTCAGTCCTGGGTCTACAGCCTCAGTCCTGGATCTACAGCCTCAGTCCTGGGTCTACAGCCTCAGTCCTGGATCTACAGTCTCAGTCCTGGATCTACAGCCTCAGTCCTGGATCTACAGTCTCAGTCCTGGATCTACAGCCTCAGTCCTGGATCTACAGCCTCAGTCCTGGATCTACAGCCTCAGTCCTAGAACTACAGCCTCAGTCCCTGGATCTACAGCCTCAGTCCCTGGATCTACAGCCTCAGTCCTGGGTCTACAGCCTCAGTCCTGGATCTACAGTCTCAGTCCTGGATCTACAGCCTCAGTCCTGGATCTACAGCCTCAGTCCTGGATCTACAGCCTCAGTCCTGGATCTACAGCCTCAGTCCTGGATCTAAAGCCTGAGTCCCTGGAGCAGATCCCTTTCTCAATATAGCTCTCCCTGAGGTTTAAAAAAAATAATGTTTTTATGCCTTGTGCTGCTCAAACTAACGTCCCCTTGTGGGAGAAATAAAGTGTCTGACTCTGAACCTGAATCTAAGTTCCTCACTTTTTCCTCACTGGGTTTTTAGAGTTGTTCTTTGCCGGTGCAGGAGGTCAGTGAGGATGATCCAAGACAATGGTTCAAAGCGTTTTTTAAAGTAAATTCAATTTGTTCTTGTATCAGCCTAAATCACAACAGTAGTTTTCTCAGAGGACTTCACGAAACTGTCGATTGGCCAACACAGATCAGAGAATCAGTTCAAACACAAGAGATGCAATGATACAAAACAAACACACAGAGAGCCATTGGTCCAGAACGGGCAGAGACCAAAGTCTATAAATGTCAGTGAATGTAGAGTGTCCTTTTAGTTAGAGCTTAGCTTGAACTGCTTGATTTTCTGATCTGTGTTGGCCAATCGACAGCTTTGTAAAGAGACAGGGCTATACAAAAATGAATTGAATTGAATTAAATTGAGTATTCCTCCGACAGAAGAAGCTTGGGGTTGAAACTGACCGAGCTGCGTCAAAACACACGAGTAAAACAACGTCCAGGATTTGATGATATCGTCTCTGTATTAGTGCATTAGAATTATTTCTTTCACTTGTGCATGGTGTGAGTCCAGCCAGCACCCAGGTCAGGGTCAGGGCCAGGACCAGGGCCAGGGTTAGAGTCAGGGCCAGGGTCAGGGCCAGGGTCAGGGCCAGGGTTATTGATGTGCTTTTTACCCAGTCCAGAGCTATCGTTTTGGGGGCAGGTCTCACTGGAAACTGGCCTTGACTCTTCGCAGTGTGTCGTGGATCCTTCGAGCCTGGCGTTCCGTGGTTTGTTGGAAATTGGCCTGGCTCCCCGAGGCCAGCTGCTGGATGTCTGCGGAGCCCGTCCTGGTGATCCGGACCCGCAGGTACGACTGGAGGTCCCGGTCTGGACTGTAAGGGAACAGGGCCTCTTGGAAGGCATGCACCTGGCTCACCACCTTGGCGATCCTCCTGAAGGGAAGAGAGAAGGAGGAAATTTATGGAATCTGACCTGTATATTCTGGACTGTGGACCCTGTTTTATTAGCCCGGTCTTACCATAACATTGTACTCATTTCATTAGTACTAAGGTCTGGATTAGCTCCATTGACTCCGTTAACAGGAGGGAGGGGCTAACTCCTTTTGCAGATTGAAACCATTGGATCTGAGTTTACTGTGATGTATGTAATGAGCCCGAGTGAGTGAGGCATTTAGAACTTAGCCTAGCTTTAGCATTTAGCCTAGCTTTAGCCATCTCCTTTGCCACCAATGAAGCCTGTGGGGAGTAGAGCCACAACAACTTTGCAGCATTGACATTTGCAAAACATTCAGCTACGGTTTCAATTTCTTGATATTTGGAGCTTTATGTATGTAAGTTCGTATTTATTTTATTATTGTTTTAATCTTGCCTGTGAAGCCCTTTGGGCAGCTGGTGTTTTAAATGTGGTTTACAAGTAAAGCTGACATTGACAGGTATTATTATTTTTGTCTCAATACATTTCAATTATCAAAAAGAAACACGTTTGTAAAAATCTACATGTTTGGCACATGTTTGACCACATCAAGTCGCCTTTATCTAATTAGAACCCTACTCCACTTTGGGGGGACTTTTCTGTCTGATAAAGCAGATCTAAAGATGTGACAGAGGCCAAACGCACATTAACGTGAAAACCAGTGAGACCGGTTTTGAGAATCAAGAAGAACTTAAATGGCTTTCATGGCATTGTCCTGTTTTTTTGTGTCTTTAAACTGTCATGGGTGTCTTTTTTAGTTCCAGTTTGATGTTGTAGGAACTGTTCTCCCGAGTCTTGTTGATTTACTTTGTGTTTTGGCTATTGGTGTTTGACCTGTGGCTCCCAGATAAAAATCCTCCCCTCTTTCGCTCTTGTCAGTCCATTATGTATTTTTTCTCGCAGTTCTCGCCTTCGTCCTCAGTTCCTATATTTTAAAATCAGTTGAGTTTTGTTTTTGGATTCTTGTTTATCAAATTATATCATTTTTTTCAGTGTTGAATTTTGGTTAATCCTTTTTTCTTTTTCTTTCTAAACGTGACAGAAACGTAGGTCCCCCAGCTTTAACTTTCAAACATCACCCTCTATGCAAATCCACAGCTGTTCCCCTGCTTCTCCCTGCTCCTTTCCAAACTCCCGCTCCCAATCTAAAAAAAAAAAAAAAAACAGTTCACAGGAAGTCCAGACGATGTCCGGCCCTGACCTCCACATCTGGACTGGAATCTCTCTTTTCCAAATCAAGTCGTTCCCTGCAGCTGCCCGGCCTGGCTTCCACCGCCGGCTCCAACCCCGACAGCTGTTCCATCACCATCGCAGCAGCTCGGGCCCTGACCCCAGCATCTGTCCCCTCCCATCCAGGCTCGGGGGGAGAAGGACACGAATGGAACTGTCCCCAAAGAGAGCCAGCGAGCGGCGCCGCAGACGCAGGATACAGTGGGAGAGCAGCTAATGTACAGTTAATGAGGCAAGGACACGGCGAAGCGACATGGAATTACGTTTTAATTCGAGCCAGGGTAAAATATCCGCGGATATTGATTATAGGCTGGAAATAATGGCGAAGGACTGTGAGCATATTGTGGGGTTAATGGATTTGTGAGAAGCGAGAGGAAAGGACACTCTGAGGACGTTCAGAGCAAGAGTTAGTCAGATTGGATCAAACTGATGATGGGCTGCAACTAGTTTAGAAAATACAAGTATGAAGAAAAACAGACAGGACGTATTTGAAAAGCAAAAAGAGGGTGGATTTTTATATCAATGTCAAAGCCTTCACATCCATAAACAACCCCAGATTAATTGATCTTTTAACGTGGTTTTATGAACACACACAGTTATCATACAGCTGCCAAAATATACAAGAAATGGCCAATAGCCATTTTGATGCAAAACAGATAGCATAGAGTGTTTTTGTTGTACATCTGTGACATGTTAGTGCCCAATGAACCACATTTGGACTCTGAGGAGCACAGGGACTGGCCTCCTGCTGGGTCTCTGAGGACCTTGCTTATTTGAAGGCAATACTTTTTTCTCACAATTTAGAATGCACAGAGTGATCCATTTGTGCCAGAAGTTCTTTATGTATGTGGCTAAAAACTCAACATAAACTAAAAGTAAACATCTGTGTGATAAAAAGTTCCCTGTTTTCACACGTATGCATTTTTTTGCCTCTGTCACATCTTTAGATCAGCTTTACAAGACCAAAAAGTGAAAAAAGCAGGACCGCCCTCACTCAGCCAATCATTTCTCAGCCCAAAGCGTCAAATAGTGACTCCCAGGGCTCTTACAAGTAAATAAAAGATAATGTGTTTTCTAATAACATGAAGACAGGCCTGACTCGTTCACAAACAATGCCTGGAGCTGCTTCAGTCCTGCACCTGTCCTCGTTCTACAGTCTGAGTCCTGGGTCTATAGCCCGTCTGTCCATGTGGGGCGGATCCCTCTCTCAATGTGGATCCGAAATCAGTTTTCTTCCACTGGGTTTTAGAGTTTTTTACAGTTAGTGTCTAACAAGAAGGACTATGATGATCCAGGACACTTCAACATTCTTCAACATGTATGACATTTATCAAAATTCATGTCTCTCCCTATGGACCAATACAAACATGTATTCTCTGAGATGACTGTTGTTCTGATTTAGAGCGATACAAGAATACATTTAATTGAATTTAACTATGTGTTTATTCATTCATTCATTCATTTTCCTCCCCTTTATTAGTCCATTTCTGGGTCGGGGGGTTGGCAATGAGAGCTGCCACCCAATGCGAAGATAATAGTTAGGTAACTCCTCTTTGGAGCCATTTGTAAAGTGAATAATAATAATGAGGCCAGATGTTGCACAGACCTGAGCTTGTTCCACTTGAAAGCTCCGGTGGTCAGTTTGAAGGCTCCGATCTCCAGCTGCTGGACGTGGAGGGCCAGGATGTGAGCCGAGGGCAGCGTGGGCCTCCTCCTCAGCCGCTCTCCTCCCATCAGACACAGGTCGTCACTCTTCAAGAACACCTGAGGACAGAGACGCACAATATGTTCCATGTCAGACGTGATTCCTCGGGGCACCATGGGCCTGTGGCGTTGATCACAGTTTTACAGAATGCAAAGTTTACAGGGATTTTTGACGAGATACTGGAACGAACAAGAACGAGATATGACAGAGCTACGTGTGGCACTAAAAGGGCGTCGGTTATGGATCAAGTCCTTGTTTTTGTCCTGGTTTAGTTACTGTATTTTGACTTTAGTTATGTGTTTTTTTGTTTTACTTCCTGTCCTGTTCCCCTGTCTTGATTGTCTGCCACGGCTTCATGTGTTACAAAAAAAAATGAGTTTTGATTTAATTTTGTTTTTAAAATAAATAATTATTATTCTTGCATTTTAACTCTTTTCCAACTTGGGACATATTTTCTCTTTGCCTCCAACTGACCCAACTGTACCTGTGTGCTATCAGCTGTACCTGTGTGGAATCAGCTGTACCTGTGTGCTATCAGCTGTACCTGTGTGGAATCAGCTGTACCTGTGTGCTATCAGCTGTACCTGTGTGGAATCAGCTGTACCTGTGTGCTATCAGCTGTACCTGTGTGGAATCAGCTGTACCTGTGTGCTATCAGCTGTACCTGTGTGGAATCAGCTGTACCTGTGTGCTATCAGCTGTACCTGTGTGCTATCAGCTGGGAGGTACGAAGGGCCTGGGTCCAGACCGAGACCTCCATTTTGACCTCCACCCGACCACTGACTACACCTCACCTTTTTGGATTTGTTTTTCTATTGTGTTTAGATTAACGTTTCTGTCCACACGTTTACATTTGTGAATAGAATAAGCTTTTGCTGCTTTTTGGACGCCTGCCTCCCGTCTCTGTTCCCCGCTCGGTAAATTCAGTCGTTGGGCCACTCTCCAGGACTCTCGCACCTGTGGCCCGTAACTGAGTCCAACCGTGTTTCCAAAAAGGCCACTTTAGTGAACAAGACTTGTCCAGGGGCATAGAACCCAGACTTAAAACTGTTTTAGGATTTGGGCATTGGGATTTCTCAACTTTGAAATGATATATTGAAATACTGATTTATATTTGATAGAACTGAAGTGCATTAGATTCAAGATTCAAGAATGTATTTGCCATTTGCAGTAAAACTACTTTGGAAAAACTGTGCAAGACTCCCCCAGTGTTCCCCAGACAGCACACACCAGAGCTCGTTTCTTTTTCTCCGGCACCATGAGATATATATGTCTCTCTCGCTTCTCAGCAAGAAGGTCCAGGGCCTTTCTGAGTGGAGTTTGCATGTTCTCCCCGTGTCTGCGTAGGTTCCCTCTGTGTACTCCGGCTTCAAAACCACTAAAAACATGTACAATAGGTCTGGCATGTCGTTGGGCGGCACGGTGGCTGAGTGAATAACACTCTCGCCTCTGAGCAAGAAGGTCCTGGGTTTGAATCCCGGTTGGACCAGGGCCTTTCTGAGTGGAGTTTGCATGTTCTCCCCGTGTCTGCGTAGGTTTCCTCAGGGTGCTCCGGTTTCTCCTACCACTAAAAACATGTACAATAGGCTCCAATCTCTGTGTAAAGTGTGAGACAAATGCCCACAATTGTAAACTGCTTTGACTCTTTATACTGTGAAAGGCGGTACATAGATAAAGATTACTTACTTTCTAAAACAACTAAATACGAAATGTTCAATATACAGCATGTAGACACAGACAAAGACGATGAAAAGAAAAGAATGTAGAAGAAATCTTTTGCATTTTTGAGTCTTTGCCAAACTAAATGACTTGAGCAGAAGCGGCCGATCTCCAGCTCCTTTCTTTCCCCTCGTCGAACTCACCGGTGCCTGCTGCCATTTTGAGAATGTCAAAAGCACTTCAGTAAATTGTACACTTTCCAAGCTGCAAATGTGGTTCCTTTTTGAGGTCATCACTCATTATCCAAATGATATGGTGCAGAATGGTATTGTACGAGGACTGGTAAGTGCGCTCGCAGAAGTGCCAGTCCTCAGAGGAGACCTGGGATCACTCACTTTGAGACTTTTCCCAAATCTGAGTACACAAATTTGCATTTGTTTTTTACCTACTGGAACTGGTGAAAGGAACCAAAGTGTGTATCTTTTTAGTCGCTAAAGAAGCCAGAAAACATGAATTGAAATGTAAAGCTCCCTCAGATTGGAACAGACTAAAGTTATTGATCTTTTCTCTAACTTCTGTTTAAAAAAAGCTATGAACCTAAACAAGATATGAACTTCAGATAAAATAAAACTTAATCCCTGTATGGTATATATATATGTGTGTGTGTCATCCCATGTATTTGTCCTGTTCCCTATCAATTCTGTTATTATGTACGCCTTACTGTATTTGTGATGTGGTGCCCTTCTGAGGACCTCCGCAAAAAACCTAGATTTTTCATAAATCCTCCAAACAGTTACATAAATACTCAGTATACATGCAGACTCAGACCTCTCTAGTCTCAGTATACATGCAGGTTCAGACCTCTCTAGTCTCAGTATACATGCAGGTTCAGACCTCTCTAGTCTCAGTATACATGCAGGTTCAGACCTCTCTAGTCTCAGTATACATGCAGACTCAGACCTCTCTAGTCTCAGTATACATGCAGACTCAGACCTCTCTAGTCTCAGTATACATGCAGACTCAGACCTCTCTAGTCTCAGTATACATGCAGGTTCAGACCCCTCTAGTCTCAGTATACATACAGACTCAGACCTCTCTAGTCTCAGTATACATGCAGGTTCAGACCCCTCTAGTCTCAGTATACATGCAGGTTCAGACCTCTCTAGTCTCAGTATACATGCAGGTTCAGACCTCTCTAGTCTCAGTATACATGCAGGTTCAGACCCCTCTAGTCTCAGTATACATGCAGGTTCAGACCCCTCTAGTCTCAGTATACATGCAGGTTCAGACCTCTCTAGTCTCAGTATACATACAGACTCAGACCTCTCTAGTCTCAGTATACATGCAGACTCAGACCTCTCTAGTCTCAGTATACATGCAGGTACAGACCTCTCTAGTCTCAGTATACATGCAGGTACAGACCTCTCTAGTCTCAGTATACATGCAGGTTCAGACCTCTCTAGTCTCAGTATACATGCAGGTTCAGACCTCTCTAGTCTCAGTATACATGCAGGTTCAGACCCCTCTAGTCTCAGTATACATGCAGGTTCAGACCCCTCTAGTCTCAGTATACATGCAGGTTCAGACCTCTCTAGTCTCAGTATACATACAGACTCAGACCTCTCTAGTCTCAGTATACATGCAGACTCAGACCTCTCTAGTCTCAGTATACATGCAGGTACAGACCTCTCTAGTCTCAGTATACATGCAGGTACAGACCTCTCTAGTCTCAGTATACATGCAGGTTCAGACTCCTCTAGTCTCAGTATACATGCAGGTTCAGACCTCTCTAGTCTCAGTATACATGCAGGTTCAGACTCCTCTAGTCTCAGTATACACAGCACAATGAAACATTTCACTGTAATAAAGAGAAATGCTGTATATATACTCTGAATACTACATCTTGTGGTTGTAAACATTTGCCACCGTAAATACTGTACATTCTTTCAACTTCTCCAAAATCTCCACTGCTGTAAAAATAACTGTTTTCACACTGAACTTTGGCTGCAGTTTGGAGCCCTGTCTCAGCTTTGCCCAGAGTTAAGTAGCTTGAAGCGGTTTCATATTGATTCCTTTGCCCTCAGGCCACTTCTCACAACACAGTGTACACAGGACATTTTCTGTGGAGGTTTTGGATGTTTCTGGAGGCCCCCACCTGCACGGCCCTCAGCTCTTCCAGGACTTCACACACTTTGGTGGGCAGGTGCTTCCAGGCCTGTTGGCAAGAGACAAAGAGACTCAGTATTTCATTCATCACTAATGCAATCAAAGCACTGAGGCGACCGGATATGACCAGCTCTCAGATGGCATGCGATTATTCAGAATGTGTTTCATAATAATAATAATAATAATAATGCATTGGTTTTATATGGAGCTTTTCAGAACACTCAAAGATGCTTCACATTTCATTATTCTTTCACAAATTATTATAGTAGCCACAGCTGCCCTGGGGCACACTGACAGAAGCGAGTCAACCAGTACATGCCATCGGAACCCCTCCCACCACCACCAACCATTCACACACACACCAGACTCATTCTAATGTAGGTGAAGTGTCTTGCCTAAGGACACAACCACAGTTTGGCACTTTACAGCTGCACTTTTAGATTAAGATTAAGATTAGATTAAGAGATCCTTTATTAGTCCCACAGTGGGGAAATTTCAGTTTTGCATCACAAGTTATAACAGTAGGAAAGAGGAGCACACGGCACAAGTTAAGTGAACAATAGCTATAATAATAATAATAATAATAATAATTTTGGACTAAGATCAACTTTTGGATAATTTTGTGAAGCCGTTTTCCAGAGGAAGAAAGATGCCAAACAAAGCAATGGGTAATTCCTTTTCCGGGTACACCCCCACCGTCAAGGAGTGAGACTGCAGCATGTCAAGGCACGTGCTCATGGACCTTTTGGAGCCGGGACCCGCCCCCACTGGTAGGAACGAAGAGAAGTCAAGTACCACCGCTTTAAACAATTACTTTTTTTTTTTTGGATCAAGTCGAGCCCCGACCGCAAAATCTACAAAAACCTTCAGAACACATGAACTCTGTACAGTTTGAGAAATCTGTCGTTGTCTCCTGTGTCTTTTCTTCCGGCGGCTCAGAGCTTTCACTTCGCACCATTTGGTTTGTGTTCATTTCTCATTCACAAAACTAATTAAACACAACGTCTCGACCCGATCGCAGCCGATGAAAGTGTCTAACCGCGGGCCGTCAGGCTTATTGCACACACACAGACATCCCCGGGTGGCTCATGGTGTGTGTGTGTGTGTGTTCATGTGTGTGCAATTACAGGTAATTGCCTGACGATCACGTTCTCCAGGCCTCTCAGGATCTGCATTGCGGTGGCAAAGTTGCGGGACTCGTAACAGTGCTTCCCGATCCACAGATACTTGGTCAGCAACGCCACTTGGGCCTGTGCAACAAAACATGATCACATATGATAAGAATCAGAATCAATTTATTGCCATTTGCAGAAAAATAACTACATTGGAATACAAACAGGAAACACCGGGTGCACCATCACCACAAAGCACACACACACAGACAAAAAGAGGCCATTATTGCTTGAATAGAGCGGTTTTTATCTTAATTTGAGTACATTCTGACTGTCTTAAAACTTTGCCAATGGGAAACAGGCATTGAACAGCCTTTTTGCAGCTCAGTACAGACTGAGACGCTGCAAAACAATTAGCAAAAACAACCAGACTCCTCAGTTGAAGTTCAAAGAGTCTAAGCTATGTAGTTCTAGCTTGCGGCCAGTAGGGGGCAGTGGAACTTTACAACACGACAGAAACGACCCCAAGCAATAAAACCACTTCCTCAACAACATCCTCCTCAGGCCAAAGACGGGAAAGAACCAACATCATTCTTTGCAACTGAAGGATTTCATATTTGTATCTTTCTTTTGAACGCACTGTGATTTTTATTTTGATGCTGTCTTGATTTGTTCAGCACTTTGAGTTTCCTTATATGAATTGTGCTATAAAAATAAACTTGCCTTATTTTCTCATTTCAAGAGAGAAAATTCTTGAATCGTTTGAACATAAAAAGATTTTTGTGCTTGTCGCATTGGCCAATCGTGTTTTAAGGCTCAGAAAGAAAGTGCTTTTCGATTGATCTGAATGAGAGTCGTGAGAATGATGGCGCGGAGAGAGTTTCAGAATGACCTGGGTCCTAGTGCCCCAGTGCCTTGTTTGGTCCAGTTCAAGACAATTTATTTTATGAAATACGTTTGTGGTGCACAGAGGAAAGTAATGCAGTCAAATAAACAAGTCTAAAAAATTTAAATAAAAACAACTTGAATACATTTTTTTTTTGAATAAATTAAAACAATGAACAAAAAAAGTGAAATGAAATAAAATAAAAAATAATTAAAATGATCAGTTGGTAGGGCAATGGCCTTTGGGCTGGAAGGTCGTGGGTTCGAGCTATTGGACCTACTCCAACTGCTCCCACAAATGTCTGCTGTTGTGTCCTTGGGCAAGACACTTAACCCCACGTTGCCTGAAGCTCCCGCTGAAACACCAAGGCTGTGGCACCACTGATGTGGATCACCCGCAGAGGATCAGAGGGACTGGTGCTATGAGCATTGGGTGCAGCTCTCATTGTCACCCCCCCCCCGACCCAGAAATGGACTAATAAAGGGGAAGAAAATGAACAAATGAATGAATGAATAATTAAAACAATGAAAATAAAAACAATTATCTATGTACGTAAATAAACATAAAACAATTACATAAATGAAAAAAATAAAAATACCAGAGAGTCAAAGTGGGTCTTAAGACGACACTGAAAACATTCCAACATACCTCAACAAACTTTCTCACAGTTTGTTTTTGTCATTGCCACTTTTCTCTCTGCTGTGACTGTAAAAAGTGAAGGTCCAGTTTCCTGATTGAGTGGTCACCGTCCGTAGCCCTGTTGTGTTGGTCCTTATTCACGGTCTCATGCAGGACTGTGTGTCTGTGGGTCTGACCTTGACAGAGTCGCACAGCAGAACCTCAGCGCAGACCCATTGAGACACGCGCTCAGAGTGCACGAGCAGCCCCTGCAGGGAGCTGTGGTCAGAGCACAGAGCGCCACTGCCCTCTGCTGGACACACAGCGCAGCACACGTTCCTGTGAGAAGACACACACAAACACACATCAAACTTCTGTAGTGTAAAACAGCTGCAGTAAAATATGAAGCTAAAGTCCGGACTAGAACCAGGAAGTAGGATCACATTAGTCCTGGTCTCAGGTCTCTGCTTCCTGTAGCTCAGAGAATAGACTTTAAATCAACTCTGTTTGTTAAAAGTCTCTCTGTTAGACACATGTGAACCAACTCTGAGGAGCACAGGCACTGGCCTCCTGCTGGAATCTGAGGAGCACAGGGACCGGCCTTCTGCTGGGACTCTGAGGAGCACAGGGACCGGCCTCCTGCTGGGACTCTGAGGAGCACAGGGACTGGCCTCCTGCTGGGACTCTGAGGAGCACAGGGACCGGCCTTCTGCTGGTCCCAGAGTCAGGACTAAACATGGGGAGACAGCACTCAGATTCATGCATGCAAAATCTGGGACACTCTTCCTGAAAAAGTGAGAGAGGCTTCTTCTCTGTTATCCAGGTTTAAACACTTCTGTTTTGCTACGACTGAAGGATTTTATCTTTACTCTTTTTAATGTTCTGTAAATATTATGGATTTGAATGATTTGTTTTAGTGTTTCTTATCTTGTTTTGTTAATCACTGTGTCTGTGTGTGTTGTGTGTGTGTGACTGATGTGTGGTGTGAGATATGTGTGGTGTGTTTGTGTGTGACTGATGTGCGTGTTGTGTGTACTGTGTAATGTGTATTGTGTGGTGTGTGATGTGTGTCTGGTGTGTATGTTGTGCGTGGTGTGTGTGACTGATGTGTGTTTGTGTGTGTCTGATGTGTGGTAATGTGTGTGGTGTATTTGTGTGTGACTGATTTGAATGTTGTATGTGGTGTGTATTGTGTGTATGTGTGTGTTTGATGTGATGTGTCTTGTGTGTAGTGGTTGAGGTGTGTGGTTTGTGATGTGTGTGTAGTGTGTATGTTGTGCGGTTTGTGTGACTGATGTGTGTTTGTTTGTGGTGTGTTTGCGTGTGACTGATGTGAATGTTGTGTGTGGTGTGTAGTGTGTATTGTGTGTGTGTGTGTGTGTGTATGATGTAATGTGTGTTGTGTAGTGGTTGAGGTGTGTGGTGTGTGATGTGTGTGTAGTCAGTGTGTATGTGTGTGTTTGATGTGATGTGTCTTGTGTGTAGTGGTTGAGGTGTGTGGTTTGTGATGTGTAGTCAGGGTGTATGTTGTGCGTGGTGTGTGTGGTGTGTGTTGTGTCTCACTTGTTTGTGCTCAGGGCGTGGTCCGTGACGCCCTGAGTCCTGGAGTTCAGAAAATGAACCGGGTGACAGCGCTGGAAGATCTCCTGCAAAAGAAAAACACGGAAAGTTACAAAGTTTTCATGAAAAAACATGTCCTGGATCCCTGAGGTCCCTGTGAGTCCTGGATCCCTGCGGTCCCTGTGAGTCCTGGATCCCTGCGGTCCCTGTGAGTCCTGGATCCCTGAGGTCCCTGTGAGTACTCAATCCCTGAGGTCCCTGTGAGTCCTGGATCCCTGCCGTCCCTGTGAGTCCTGGATCCCTGAGGTCCCTGTGAGTACTCAATCCCTGAGGTCCCTGTGAGTCCTGGATCCCTGAGGTAATAGTAAGTAATAGTAAGTTTTTATTTATATACCGCCTTTTCACTGCAGATCTGAGTCTCAAAGCGGTTTACAATCGTTAATTTTGGGCATTTGTCTCTCACTCCACACAGAGATGGGAGCGGGGCCAGTACAGGAGGCGCATGCTAGAACTATTGGACATATTTTTAGTGGTAGGGGAAACCGGAGTACCCGGAGGAAACCTACGCAGACACGGGGAGAACATGCAAACTCCACTCAGAAAGGCCCTGGTCCGACCGGGATTCGAACCCAGGACCTTCTTGCTGAGAGGCGAGAGTGCTAACCACTCAGCCACCGTGCCGCCCAGGTCTCTTTGAGTCCTGGATCCCTGAGGTCCCTGTGAGTCCTGGATCCCTGAGGTCCCTGTGAGTCCTGGATCCCTGCGGTCCCTGTGAGTCCTGGATCCCTGAGGTCCCTGTGAGTCCTGGATCCCTGAGGTCCCTGTGAGTACTCAATCCCTGAGGTCCCTGTGAGTCTTGGATCCCTGCCGTCCCTGTGAGTCCTGGATCCCTGCCGTCCCTGTGAGTCCTGGATCCCTGAGGTCCCTGTGAGTCCTGGATCCCTGAGGTCCCCGTGAGTACTCAATCCCTGAGGTTCCTGTGAGTCCTGGATCCCTGAGGTCCCTGTGAGTACTCAATCCCTGAGGTCCCTGTGAGTCCTGGATCGCTGAGGTCCCTGTGAGTCCTGGATCCCTGAGGTCCCTGTGAGTACTCAATCCCTGAGGTCCCTGTGTGTCCTGGATCCCTGAGGTCCCTGTGAGTCCTGGATCCCTGAGGTCCCTGTGAGTACTCAATCCCTGAGGTCCCTGTGGGTCCCTGTGAGTCCTGGATCCCTGCGGTCCCTGTGAGTCCTGGATCCCTGAGGTCCCTGTGAGTACTCAATCCCTGAGGTCCCTGTGAGTCCTGGATCCCTGAGGTCCCTGTGAGTCCTGGATCCCTGAGGTCCCTGTGAGTCCTGGATCCCTGAGGTCCCTGTGAGTACTCAATCCCTGAGGTCCGTGTGAGTACTCAATCCCTGAGGTCCCTGTGAGTCCTGGATCCCTGAGGTCCCTGTGAGTACTCAATCCCTGAGGTCCCTGTGAGTCCTGGATCGCTGAAGTCCCTGTGAGTCCTGGAATCCTGAGGTCCCTGTGAGTACTCAATCCCTGAGGTCCCTGTGTGTCCTGGATCCCTGAGGTCCCTGTGAGTCCTGGATCCCTGAGGTCCCTGTGAGTACTCAATCCCTGAGGTCCCTGTGAGTCCTGGATCCCTGAGGTCCCTGTGAGTCCTGGATCCCTGAGGTCCCTGTGAGTCCTCGATCCCTGAGGTCCCTGTGAGTGCTGGATCCCTGTGGTCCCTGCGGTCCTTGTGATCCCTGTGGTCCCTGTGTACCCTGTGTTCCCTGTTATCCCTGCGGTCCCTGTGGTCCCTGTGATCCCTGTGGTCCCTGTGCTCACCTGCTCGATGAGGGTGAGCTGCTGGGCCAGGAGCAGAGAGCTGCAGTGGCTCTGGCAGAACGGCTCCTCGCTGTGGACGCAGGAGCTGGACATGTCCTCCATCAGAGAGCTGTAGCAGGGCACGGGCAGCGCCGCCGCGATGGAGAACGACGACGACGGCTCCACCGCTCGAGACACGCGCCACTGCAACAACAACAACTTTATTCTTGTATTTCCCTAAATCACAACAGCATCATCTCAGAGACTTAACAAAACCATTGAAATGTTGTAGAATGTTAAAGGGTCCTGGATCATCACAGTCCTTCTAGTTGGACACTAAGGCCTGGACTCCACCGGGCGCGTCTCCGTTGACGCTTGTTGGCCGCTGCCCGTCAGACGTCCTTAAAACGGAATAGTGGCCACACCGGCTGCAGCAGCTCTGGCTGTGCGTTTATCAGCCCCAACATCAGTGTGATGTGCATGAGCTGTGGCTGTGATCAGTGCAAAGCACGGCGCTATTGAAGCATCGAAAACGCTGCGATGGATGAGGCAAAACTTAAAGACCTTATGACGGGTTTTTAAAAAAAAAATTGTGGATATCAAAATTGCATGACAATGTCAATTTGAAAAATCCTATATTTTATAAAAAAAGAACGTGTTTTTCATGAATTTAAGATGTCTATGCTCTAACCTGTGTGTGACGTCACAGCGGGTTACGCCCATGCATTGAAAACCATGGATCTATGCCACAGGACTGCCTTTTCTCTCTTCTCTCCACTGATGCCCAACACAATACTGCCCTCTACAGGTGACAATTGCTCACTACACATAAATTGCCGTTTTCAGAGTGAAAAAGTGTCTGAGGTGGGATTTGAACCCAAGTATCTGGATTAACAGTCCATCAGTACAAACACTGGACTATCTCTGTGACAACGCAGAGTCACAATCTAGTATTTATGTCACACTCGCTGTACACAGCCTTGTCATCTTGAATAGCCACGAAAAAAGAACAAATACCAAATTGTAAACAACTTACAGCGTTGAAACGTACCCACTCTGACGTCACCAAGGGCTGTGAAGTTTTTTCGTCTCTAAGGGCGTTGCTATGGGGTTATTTCGATTTGGGGGGATCAGACAAAAAAAACAACAACTGATTTTGAAACCTTTAGTAGTTCTCTTCTAATATAAAATGGTATTAAAACTGTATTTCTAAATAAATCAAACCCGTCATAAGGTCTTTAAGCAATTGGTAAATCCAGTGTAGTTGTGAGATCTGTCTCTCATAAGTGCAGTAGCTGCGTGTGTGTGTGTGTGTGTGTGTGTGTGTGTGTGTGTGGGTGGGAGCGCGCGGCGGTGTGAAGAGAGCGCCTCGGAGGTAGACAGGGACAGAGCAAGAGAAAAAAGAGAGTTTAGCGTATTAACATTACGCAAAAAATAAATGGTAGATTTACGAGCAGGATACATCCATCCATCCATTTTCTTCCGCTTTATCCGTTGCCGGGTCGCGGAGGAAGCAATTATTTCAATTTAATACATGAAAAAAATATTACGCGCCCGTTGGAGTCGGGGCCTAACTGCCCAACAGACTCCTTCATCAGCAATGAAAAACTCAGAAGAAAACACAGGATTCATTGTTTTACACTGGTCCAGACCAGAGCAGAGAGGATTCATGGTTTTACACTGGTCCAGACCAGAGCAGAGAGGATTCATGGTTTTACACTGGTCCAGACCAGAGCAGAGAGGATTCATGGTTTTACACTGGTCCAGACCAGAGCAGAGAGGATTCATGGTTTTACACTGGTCCAGACCAGAGCAGAGAGGATTCATGGTTTTACACTGGTCCAGACCAGAGCAGAGAGGATTCATGGTTTTACACTGGTCCAGACCAGAGCAGAGAGGATTCATGGTTTGAACCAAGTGGATCAGGTGAAAATCCACTGGCGGAATGATGACTTTATGAAAAATGCAAATGAAGCATTTATTATTTTACTTTGGACCAGAGCAGAGAAAATCGTCCGAACCAAGCGGCTACTCCACCTTGTGACTTGTACTGCTCCACCCAGAGGCTACTCCACCTCTGCTGCTGTGACCTGAAGGACGGTTGTATTTTAATATTATTGTTAGATACTTTTAGAACTATATGTTTATTTGTTTTGATGTGTTTTGCTGCTACTGGAAACCTGCAGTTCTTCTACAGGCATCAATTAAGTATCGATCAATTAATAATGGTCAGAACATTTACTTCCTTACTTACTTTCTCATTCTAGACATCTCTCACTAAAATGATTACAACTCCTTTCCCGTTCTGAAACAGGAAACATGATGCATCATGGTAGTTTTGTACCCGTTTGCTCAGGTCCTCAGTGGAGCAGTGCAGCAGGTCGTCTTCCTCCAGGAGGCTGAGCTGGCTGCCTCTGTCCTGGGGAGAGGGTGAGTGTGTGGGGCAGTGCAGAGCGGAGAGAAGGGCCTCCCCCCGACTGTCCACGGGAACCACCTGAGACACACAAACACACAAAATAACAATACACACAATAACAACACACACTATAACAACACACACAATAACAACACACACAATAACAATACACTATAACAACACACACAATAACAACACACACTATAACAACACACACTATAACAACACACACTATAACAACACACACAATAACAACACACACTATAACAACACACACTATAACAACACACACAATAACAACACACACTATAACAACACACACTATAACAACACACACAGTGGAGAAATTAAAATGTCATCGTTGACCATTAAAGCAGAATAAATTAGGAAATAAGCGACTCAGATGATCCACACATGGAACAGGATACATTATTTAAGATGATAATAATAAAAACAATAATAACTAGAAACTTGCAATGGCTGAAGCCATTGCGATTGACTGCGGAACAGATCTAATGTGGAAATCTGCTAAAAAAAATCCTTGAAATCCTTTAAAAGGCCTTGAAACTGTTAAAATACTTGATAGATATTTGAAACTCCTGAAGTCCTTGAAATTGTTGAAACATTGAAACTCCTGATATCCTTGAAACTTTTTTAAACCTGGAAACTGTTGAAAGTGTGGAAACTCCTGAAATCCTTGAACCTCCTGATATCCTTGAAACTGGTTAAATTCTTAAACAGTTGAAATCCTTGAAACTACTGAATGTATTGAAAGTGTCCTTGAAACTGAAAAATCCCCTCACCGCTGAAACAATTTGGTTCCTGTAACTAAGGAAACCTGGTCTGTGGTCATTATCTGGTGGTGGTCTGAGTCTTCGTTTGGGTCTTGGTCTGGTGGTATAATGCAACCTATTAGGTTGCATTATACTGGTTTACATGGAAAAATCCCTATTAGGTTGCATTATACTGGTTTACATGGAAAAATTCCTATTAAGTTGCATTATACTGGTTTACATGGAAAAATATCTATTAAGTTGCATTATACTGGTTTACATGGAAAAATCCCAATTAGGTTGCATTATACTGGTTTACATGTACAAATCCCTATTAAGTTGCTTTATACTGGTTTACATGTAAAAACCCCTATTAGGTTACATTATAGTGGTTTACATGTAAAAATCCTTATTAAGTTGCATTATACTGGTTTACATGTAAAAACCCCTATTAAGTTCCATTATACTGGTTTACATGTAAAAACCCCTATTAAGTTCCATTATACTGGTTTACATGTAAAAATCCTATTAAGTTGCATTATACTGGTTTACATGAAAAAAACCCTATTAAGTTGCATTATACTGGTTTACATGGAAAAATCCCTATTAAGTTGCATAATACTGGTTTACATGGAAAAATCCCCATTAAGTTGCATTATACTGGTTTACATGAAAAAAACCCTATTAAGTTGCATTATACTGGTTTACATGGGAAAATCCCTATTAAGTTGCATTGTACTGGTTTACATGGAAAAATCCCTATTAAGTTGCATTATACTGGTTTACATGGAAAAAACCCTATTAAGTTCCATTATACTGGTTTACATGTAAAAAAAAACCCTATTAAGTTGCATTATACTGGTTTACATGGAAAAATCCCCATTAAGTTGCATTATACTGGTTTACATGAAAAAAACCCTATTAAGTTGCATTATACTGGTTTACATGGAAAAATCCCTATTAAGTTGCATAATACTGGTTTACATGGAAAAATCCCCATCAAGTTGCATTATACTGGTTTACATGGAAAAAACCCTATTAAGTTGCATTATACTGGTTTACATGGAAAAATCCCTATTAAGTTGCATTGTACTGGTTTACATGGAAAAAACCCAATTAAGTTGCATTATACTGGTTTACATGTAAAAAACCCTATTAAGTTGCATTATACTGGTTTACATGGAAAAATCCCCATTAAGTTGCATTATACTGGTTTACATGAAAAAAACCCTATTAAGTTGCATGATTACACTGAAGTCCTTGAAACTGTTGAAACCTTGAAACTGTTGAAACCTTGAAACTGCTGAAGTCCTTGAAACTGCTGAAGTCCTTGAAACTGTTGAAGTCCTTGAAACTGTTGAAGTCCTTGAAACTGTTGAAACCTTGAAACTGTTGAAACCTTGAAATTGTTGAAACCTTTAAACTGTGGAAACCTTGAAACTGCTGAAGTCCTTGAAACTGTTGATGTCCTTGAAACTGTTGAAGTCCTTGAAACTGCTGAAGTCCTTGAAACTGTTGATGTCCTTGAAACTGCTGAAGTCCTTGAAACTGCTGAAGTCCTTGAAACTGTTGATGTCCTTGAAACTGCTGAAGTCCTTGAAACTGTTGAAGTCCTTGAAACTGTTGAAGTCCTTGAAACTGCTGAAGTCCTTGAAACTGTTGAAGTCCTTGAAACTGTTGAAGTCCTTGAAACTCTTGAAACCTTGAAACTGCTGAAGTCCTTGAAACTGTTGAATCCTTGAAACTGAAACTGTTGAATCCTTGAAACTGTTGAATCATTGAAACTGTAGAAATGTCTGAAAGAGCTGAAGTCCTATTAAAATGCATGGGCCTATTAAAATGCATTGCAGAATTCTCAATGCAAATTAATGGCAGAATTCCCAAGCCCGTAGAAAAAAACTGGAAAACTGCAGAACTCTAATTTTTTCTGAAAACTCACAAGTTGTGGAAGCTGAACATGCACAAACTGCAGAAAATGCTGAAAATGTTGAAGAAAATTCTGAAAACTATGAATTTGTGGAAGCCCCATTATAAGTCAATGGGAAAAATTGACCGATTTTTGTCCGATTGCGGAAAAACCGGAAATCGCTGAAGTCCCAAATAATCTCCCAAACATGTGGAACGTTTTGATGTATAACTTGTGGAAATTGTTGAAAATGTGAAAGCTGTGAAACGTGTCAAAAATCAGGAAAAAGACGGAATAAAGAACACCAAAACCAATGATTGACTGCGGAAGGTTCCGCAGTCAATCAATAACATAATGTAAAGGATTTATTGAATATCGTGGAGCTATTATTGCACTTGGTTCAGGAGACGTCACTAGTGGAGTATACTCTGTAGTCAGCAGAGTATACTACTGCCCCTGCTGCTTCTCCTGCTCCTGCTGCTTCCCCTCCTCCTTCTGATTCACCTTCTCCTGAAGCTTCACCTCCTCCTGCTCCTTCACCTCCTCCTGCTGCTTCACCTGCTCCTTCCCCTCCTCCTGCTCCTGCTGCTTCACCACCTCCTGCTTCACCTGCTGCACCTCCTCATGCTCCTGCTGCTTCACCTTCTGCTGCTCCTGCTGCCTCAGACAAAGGGTCTCTGAGGCCTGTACCTTTGAGCTGACAAAGGGTCTCTGAGGCCTGTACCTTTGAGCTGACAAAGGGTCTCTGAGGCCTGTACCTTTGAGCTGACAAAGGGTCTCTGAGGCCTGTACCTTTGAGCTGACAAAGGGTCTCTGAGGCCTGTACCTTTGAGCTGATAAAGGGTCTCTGTGACAGACTCTGAGTCCTAGAGGGGATTCTTTGTTTCCATGGAGAGGTCTGGAATGTTCAATAATCTGTTTCTGAACAGAATGTTTGTTGACCAATAAAAACTGTTGCCATGGAGACGCTGTGACACACAACCGCCCGTCAATCATTCTTCTTTTCATCTTTGAACAACAACATTTGCTGCCGTTTCCAGCTCATTCAAAAGCAAACAGACACAACCTTAAGAGAGCATCAGGAGAGAGCATCAGGAGAGAGCATCAGGAGAGAGCATCAGGAGAGAGCATCAGGAGAGAGCATCAGGAGAGAGCATCAGGAGATAGCATCAGGAGAGAGCATCAGGAGAGAGCATCAGGAGATAGCATCAGGAGAGAGCATCAGGAGAGAGCATCAGGAGATAGCATCAGGAGAGAGCATCAGGAGAGAGCATCAGGAGAGAGCATCAGGAGAGCATCAGGAGAGCATCAGGAGAGAGCATCAGGAGAGACCATCAGGAGAGAGCATCAGGAGAGCATCAGGAGAGAGCATCAGAAGAGAGCATCAGGAGAGAGCGTCAGGAGAGAGCATCAGGAGAGAGCGTCAGGAGATAGCATCAGGAGAGAGCATCAGGAGAGAGCATCAGGAGAGAGCATCAGGAGAGCATCAGGAGAGAGCATCAGGAGAGAGCATCAGGAGAGAGCGTCAGGAGAGAGCATCAGGAGAGAGCGTCAGGAGATAGCATCAGGAGAGAGCATCAGGAGAGAGCATCAGGAGAGAGCATCAGGAGAGCATCAGGAGAGAGCATCAGGAGAGAGCATCAGGAGAGAGCGTCAGGAGAGAGCATCAGGAGAGAGCATCAGGAGATAGCATCAGGAGAGAGCATCAGGAGAGAGCATCAGGAGATAGTCACTCAGATCTAACATGACTAAAACAGAGACTTTTCCTGCATCAGTGTTAAGCCGAATATCATTTGTTACCTTGACTAGAGCGGTCTCAGTACTGTGGTGTGGTCTAAAGCCAGACTGAAACATGTCAAATGAGTCATTAGATATTAAAAATTCAGTAAGTTGTTGGTAGGCAACTTTTTCAAGAATTTTTCCCATGAAAGGCAGATTTGAGATGGGACGGTAATTTTCAAGTACCGCAGCATCCAAACTGCTCTTTTTTAGGAGGGGCCTAATGACTGCCTTTTTCAGGGCCATTGGAAATGTTCCAGATAAAAAAGACATGTTTACTATTTGTGTCAATGAGGGTAATAGACTACACATAACAGACTTCAGAAATCTAGGAGGTAGTACATCCAGACTGCAGGTAGAGGAACTAAGACCTGTGATTATCTTTTTAACAGTTTCATCATTGACAGGTGCAAATTGAGCTAGCTCACAAAGCCTCACTGGATGTTGCATTGTTACTTGTGTTGTAGAGGTGATGGCATTTCTGATACCCTGAACCTTGTCTCTGAAGAACTGTGCAAACTCATTACACCTGGATTTGGAGTAGTGTTCTAATGGCAACTCAACAGGGGGATTCGTTAATCTATTGATTGTTGAAAATAGAACACGCAGATTGTTGCTGCAGCCTTCAATAGTTTCAGAAAAGTATAATTCTCTTGTTCTACGTAGTACTCTGTTAAACTCACACAACTTCTCTTTTAAGAGTCTATAATCACCCTGGAGGTTGGACTTTCTCCACTTTCTCTCTGCTCTCCGGCACTCTTGCTTCTGTGCCCTGACCGGGCCTGCTTTTATCCATGGGGCTTTTTGCTTATTTGTGACCATTTTTACCTTCACAGGGGCAATGGCGTCCAGAACATTCAACACACTAGAGGTGACAGAGTTAAGCAGTTCATCTACAGTAGAACATGATGCGTTCTCAAAATGGATCATTCCCATAAATAGTTCACCCGTGTTTTCATTTAAGTGTCTACTTCTAACAATTTCATATTTAGCGGGTGGTCTGGTAGCAAAACACATGTTAAAAAATACACAGAAATGATCCGACAGAGCAACATCAACTACATTAACTTTTGAAATATTCACCCCTTTCGTGATAAGCAGGTCCAAGGTGTGTCCTCTGCTATGGGTGGGGCCACTCACATGCTGAGTGAGGCCAAAGGATTCAAGTATGGAACTCAGCTCTTTTGCGTATCTGTCATTAACATTATCCACATGAATATTAAAATCGCCTATAATGACTAAACCATCAAAATCTGTGCACACAACTGAAAGCAACTCAGTGAAATGATCAGTAATAACATGGATCTATAATAATAACATGCTCCACGTCTCTGAAGCCTCACGCCACTCGCTGCAGCCGCTTCGGGAGCGAACGTCACCGCACACGGCACCAACACACGCTTTAAAATCTAACTCGCACAGACTTTGGAGCTTGCTCATGTTCCGCACAAACTTGTGCGCGATTGTTTCATGTTGTTTTCTTTCATTGTGGCGCGGTTTTGCCCGACAGCTGCTTTACCAAAAGCTATCGTAATGCATCATGGGATCACCCTCGCTCGCAAGTGAGCTCCGGACCTCACTTGCACTCTAGGGTGGTTTTTGTGGGTGTGAAGGCCCTCGCCTCTTCTCCCTAAGTATTGGGACACCCCTGCACTCCCGCGGGCACGTGCAAACTCTAGGGCAAGTGTGCTTTATAAGGGCAAGGGTGAGAATTGGGACGGGGCGAAAGTCAAATACATCAAAGGCCATAAAAACTAGCCGAGAGCCGGACTGGTTCAATGTGTGTTAAAACATTAAAATATGCAGACAATCTATTCATATTTTATTTAATAATTAAATAGCAGTGGGGGAGGGTCCCAGCTCAAAAGTGGCCAAAATGACGCTGACATGCTGCAATACCACCCGGGGCCGATGGGGGTGGACCCAGAAGAAGAATTAGCCAATGCTAACATATAGCATTGGCAGACCTCTCAAAAACGTCTTTACAGGATGGACTAAAAGTTGTCTCTTGGCCCAAAGCTCCGTTCCACATGTGTGTCAATGCTGAGGGGGGTGGATTTTTTTGGTCCACTCTAGTTTACTCGCTGTGAATTTTTTAAGTCTCTCGTTCAAATGAATGGAGCTCTCTCCGGCTGACGCATGCGCAGATGCGTTTTTTCACAATTTTCTTGTGGGCGGGACCACCCGCGGCCATTTTGGATTGCTCCAGTAGAGCACATTTTTTGGCCCATTAGTTAGAACGGCGGAGATAGACGTGACTCTGTCTGTTAATATATACAGTCTATGTTAAATAGATAGATAGATATTTTATTGATCCCCCAAAGGAGAAATGTAGATGCTCCGACTGGGATCTGAACCCAGGACCTTCTTGCTCAGAAGCCACCATGCTGCCCATATAGTCAGAGACACAGGTACATATAGACACAGAGAGACACAGGTACATATAGACACAGAGAGACACAGGTACATATAGACACAGAGACACAGGTACAAATAGACACAGAGAGACACAGGTACATATAGACACACAGAGACACAGGTACATACAGACACACAGAGACACAGGTACATATAGACACACAGAGACACAGGTACATATAGACACACAGAGACACAGGTACATACAGACACACAGAGACACAGGTACATATAGACACAGAGACACAGGTACATATAGACACAGAGAGACACAGGTACATATAGACACAGAGAGACACAGGTACATATAGACACAGAGAGACACAGGTACATATAGACACAGAGAGACACAGGTACATATAGACACAGAGAGACACAGGTACATATAGACACAGAGAGACACAGGTACATACAGACACACAGACACAGGTACATATAGACACAGAGACACAGGTACATATAGACACACAGAGACACAGGTACATATAGACACAGAGTCTAATATAACAATAATAGTAATAATTGTCTTTTGGCTCAGAGCAGGATCTGTCTCCACAAACACATGTTCATGAAGGCCTTTAGTGTTCGCTCACTTTAATGACTCCAACAATTCACCAGAGGAAAAAAGAAAAATTTGGTAAATCGGCTGCTTCTCTGTGAACCGCCCGGAGGCTGCACACACACCTCAGTGTTTGTGCGATGGCGGCTGTTTAATTGTGTGTTGATTCCTCCAAACAGGAAGTGCAGCAGCAGTTGATCCTTGAGACGAGAAATCTGAAGAAAACAAGGAATTTCTATCACAAGCTGCTTCAACAGGAGCAGAAGAACAAAGGTGAGGGCGAGTGGGATCCCTCTGGGCCTCTAATGGTATTCATTTAATAATTTATTCAGGTGCTAATTTTCAACACTAGTCCACAGAGGCTTTTCACAGTGCAGAAGATATAATTACATGTGAGAAGAAGTCTGTCTGGATCTTAACCACTGTTTGAGCTCTCTGCTGAAGATGGTCATGTTAGTCTGTAGTTTTTGCCCAGTGGGGAGAGAGTTCCACAGTTTAACCCTAAAGGAGAAGCTGCAATGTCCAAAATGATGGGAGTGAGGCAAAGCATTATGGTTGGGCCCCCAGAATTATGAAACCCCCCCCCCCCCCCCCCCCCCTCCCAAGGGCAATTGAATGTAGTTTTTGTGGTTAAAAGTGTGTGGATAGGGAAGTCTGGGAGTCTGTGCTTAGACTGCTGCCCCCACGACCCGGCAACGGAAGAAGCGGAAGAAAATTGATGGATTTAAAGTTTTTTTAGCCAGGAAAGTCCCATGGGGATTAAGAACCTCTTTTTTAAGGAGTCCTGGTATTTGAGAATTCTGAGTATGTCCCCTGAAATGTTATGAGGTTTTTTTTTTATTTTCCCCCCCTTTTATAAAGTGCTAAAACTGGTTAATAAAGCTTGAAATACAGAGATAAAGGTAGAGCTACTCAACATTCAAAAAATATTAGATCATTTCATAAAACATAATGACATAGGAATAAACACGGCGAGATGATGGGACCCCTGAACCCGGCCTCCTCCATCTGCACCTGTGGACTGTCTCCCCCTGGCCCAGACTCATGGGCCTGGGTGCCGCCTCAGTCCTCGTTCTACAGCCTGAGTCCTGGATCTATAGTCAAATCCCTCCTTCAATGTCGGCCTTCTGTGGTTCCTCACTTGTTTTCAGAGTTGTTCTTTGCCGATGCAGGAGGGTCCAAGGACACTCCACATTCAACAACATTTATCATGGACATTGGTCTCGGCCCCTTACGGACCAAAGTCCGCTATACAAAGTTTGATTCTCTAATCTGTTGTTGGCAATTTCCATGGTTTTATAAAGTCCTCTGAGATAACTACTACTTAGGGCAATACAAGATTACATTGAATTGAAATGCGTTTACGACATATAGAAAGAGAAAAAGTCACAAAGTTATGACGACCAACGAAGGTACATATTTAAGCAGAATAACTAGACTTCTAAAACTAAAGTGAAATACAGCATGTGACTCTCAGCGCCACCTGTGTCCCCTGGGAGATACTGTAGTGTGTGTTTGTCCAAAGGATCCGACAACAAGGCCATGTTGGTGCGACTGAAGGCTCAGCAGGAGGAGCAGCGATCCAGGGTTCTGTTCCTGGAAACTGTCAAGAAATACCTGGAGGTAAACGCCGCCGCCTCCACTCGGGGTTTGTTGTTATGTGTCAAGAGAAATGCTTTACATGAACTGCAAATAGTGAATTTCTGGGACGTTGTGGATCTATACTTGTTTTTACAACACAAAAGAGAACATTTACACATTTTTAACTATTTGCACAATTCTATGTTTTTTTTTTTTCTCTTTGGGGGGTTTATATGCCACTGATCTCAGCCAAAATCAATTCAAAATCAACAAATAAACGAGGTCAAAGAGGCCAAAATCATCAACTCTGAACTGAACTGTCATGATGCCCACCCCAGAGTCAAAAAGCATTAGATTTGCCTAAGTAGCGAATAAAAAAACATGTAACCATCTTTAATCTCTGACTTTTGGGCATGAATTTGAGTGTTTCTTTTGGATAAAATACATTATGCTGTAAATATTGTAAATTTCGGACTATAAACCGCAGATTTTTTTCCCTCACTTTGACTTCTGCAATTAATTGTAAGGTGCAGCTTAGTCCTATTATTTTTTTTTCTGTAGCACCAAAAGCACTTTCTCCGTAGAGGTTCACAGAGGTTCACAGAGGTTCACAGAGGTTCACAGAGGTTCACAGGGGTTCACAGGGGTTCACAGAGGTTCACAGGGGTTCACAGAGGTTCACAGAAGTTCACAGGGGTTCACAGAGGTTCACAGAGGTTCACAGAGGTTCACAGAGGTTCACAGGGGTTCACAGAGGTTCACAGAGGTTCACAGAGGTTCACAGGGGTTCACAGTGGTTCACAGAGGTTCACAGGGGTTCACAGAGGTTCACAGAGGTTCACAGAGGTTCACAGAGGTTCACAGAGGTTCACAGGAGTTCACAGTGGTTCACAGAGGTTCACAGGGGTTCACATAGGTTCACAGAGGTTCACAGGGGTTCACAGAGGTTCACAGAGGTTCAAAGGGGTTCACAGAGGTTCACAGAGGTCAAATTAAACTGTGTTAAGTCAATCAGCCATTTGTTCTCACCCCTCGTCACCCTGGAAAGTACTACAATCATGAAAAGTATAATTATCACACTTTGATAACGTGTGCATTACCAACACAAACGTACAGTATATTTAATGGTCACAGGCACAGTGAGAAAAAAAGTTTCATTGCGGTTCATAGTTAGAAAAGTACGATATATATTGTTTTTTGTTTCAGTTTAGTTTTTACAACATTTCCTATTGCTTGTATTTCTTGTTATAACTTGATTCATGCGTGAACTATGACTTTGGGGACTTCTTAAGCCGTTTGAACAGATGTGAAGCTTCTTCTTTGCTTGGGCTTGGTGCAGGTGTTGAGTGTGGAGCAGTGGGGGCTGGAGGCCTCAGTGCTGCCCTCTCTGGCAGAAAGTGGAGCTGCAGGTCTGGAGCTGCAGTCTTCTCTGGACTCTTCGGTTCTGTCCTTCAGCTGCAGTGATGGGAAGAGCACGCTGCAGCTGGGATCTCCTCTGGGACTCGTGGCTCATCTCTACGCCAGGTACACACTGGATTCATGGGTTCAACGTGTCAAACCATTTCTCCTCAGAGATAGGGGAGAAGATTTTCAATTTGAGTCTAAAAGAATTGATAAAAGACGGTGGCTGGGTGGACATCATTCTCCCTTCTCAGAAAGAAAATCTTGGGTTCGATTCCACATATGGCCTTTAAAGTGGTTCTCACCCCCGCTCCTCGGAGCTTACGTCACTCACATTTCCTGTTCAAATCTTCCTCTAAATGGGCGTAGCCTGGAGGACTAAAGGGGGCGTGAACGAGACTGGGCCGTTTACATTGCTCTGGGCGGGGGGCTGCTGACGTCAGGTCTTGCTTCAGACGTCAGGTCTTGCTTCAGACGTCAGGTCTTGCTGCCGCGCCAGTGTTGGCACCAGATTCAAAATTCAAATGTAGTAATACAGGTCGCCAGCAGATGGCGCCTCACAGACGGTTTTAGGCAGAAAGTTTAACTTTCAACTAATTTGCACCAAAGTGACCAAATTATGACCAGGATATGTAGACAACACTATTGGACACTCATTTATACCGTTTATCAGCTAAAAAAAGTGGATTTGAGGGTGAGTTGTCCTTCAAGTGTGGAGTTTGCATGTTCTCCCTGTATCTGTGTAGGTTTAGGTCCTTTTTTTAACCTTTAACATGTTTCTCACTTCTGTCTTTTTCACACTCTGAGTGATTCTATCTGTACCAAATGTACATTTCTCCAGCGTGAGATCAATAAAATCTTTCTTATCTAATCTTCTGTTGCTCTGGTTCCCGATCACTCAAATCAGACAGGACTCCCCTGAAATATCTGTGGGACTTTCATGGTTAAACTAAGGTCAATACATAAAATATTCTCAATGCATTTTACTCAATGTTGGAATCTGTGATCGATAGCAGATTGTTTCCCTCTAAACTTTACAATAATGCGGTTTCATTTATCCGACAAATGTCAAACCTTTCCCTGCAGTGGACACAGACACAGCTGCTTGAGTCAGAAAACCCAAACATAGATAATTCTTTAAACTGATGTTTTTCACCGTCACAGAAATGCGGCGCTGGACGGCTACATCCAGCAGTTCTTCTACACGTTCCGGTA